GAATTTCCAATTCGAACTTGTCTAGAACTGAAGTTTATTTTAGTGAGTCAGTCTTTTGCAAAGTTTCGTTATTTCAAAACAGTATTGGAGCTACCTTTAGATCTGAAATCTTCTTTGGAATAAAGAACAGTTTTGAATGGTGACTGGTATTAACTAGATTAGAAGGTATACGTTATTTTAGATTCTAGTTATAGATGTTTAAATTTCTTTTAGAGACATCCAGATATAGAAACAAGACAGATGTATTTGTAGTAGCTACAGAGAATTTCTATTTTTATAAAAAGCTTTGTATACATAAAAACACTTTATGCTATTAATGAACGAAAATGCATATGGGTGTGGGGCAACACCACATAAGTAACAAGTGCGTTGACGACAATTTGCGCAGAAGAGTTTTGGGGCTTTAGCAATTAGGGAGGGATAAGAGGAGAAATATTGGGTATTCAATTAAATTATAATCCAAATAGAAAATCTATAGCTCATATTTTTCAATAAAACTTTTTTAGATCTTCATCTAAACTAAAATTATAAAAGCGAAAGTAACTCTTTGTGCCTGTTTGTCTTTTGTTCACGCCTAAACTACTGGATGGTGAGATCGGGAACCATGTGGGTAAAACCAAAAATCTGGAGGAAGTCACTACTCCACGCGAACGAAGTCACGGGCAAAAGCTAGTCATAAATAATTATGTATAGTGGACTCTAAAATACGAACTTCCGATTTGTCTAATTGGTTCAATGAAAATCTTAAGGATAACGATTAAGTAAAACATTCTATACGTATTGAATGATACATATTAGCGAAGAAATGGCTTTGGAAAACCTTTCAGCTTTTACTAAAGTACTTAATCTGATGTAATCGCTCAAGGCTAAACCCCGACTTACAAGTATTTCTTTATATAAAACCTAAGCCTATGTACAATTGACATGATTGTTTTATACACAATTTAAGACCTAAGTAAATTAACCAGGATTTTAAGTGTCTGTTTGTAAAAACATACAAAGTAAAAAGACACTTTTTGCTTTCTCTAAGCTATCATACATCCAACGAAAGTACATGTTATATGTACTTAGAAGACATCACATATAAATTATCAGAGATAGATTCTAACATAAGGATGCTATGGGAAAAATATTTATTTCGTACCTAAGAGAAAAAAACTTTTTCGTGTTAAAAACCTAATTAAATAGTTATATACGATATAATTATTGATCACTTTTCATACATGATTTTGTGCGCCTCGGTACTCTGATGAGTAGGAACCTTTGTTCTGTAGCAATCATTTTCTGTTTAATGATGCTGATTATGGACGTAACCAATACGTGGAAACTAAACTATTTGTAATTTACAATTATTTCAGTAATAACAGTGTTCTAGAAATAGCTATTTTTCCATGAATGCTATGTATATATTCTGATTCTGATTCAGATAGATAGTAAGCCTATTTCCAAGCATCGGACACAAAACATCAAAGAGTTTGGATCTCGGAATGTCATTTTCAGTTTGCGATGCAAGCTTAGAAATGAACACAGTTTTTGTCATAGTTTATTATGACTGGTATATTATAATATACAAAATGACTGGCTTTTCTAAGAATAATATCTCAATAAAGAAGCTAGGTTATTACCCTGGCTAGTGAATTAAGAACCGCTTGGAGTAACATTCGGGAATAAAACCGCAATCCCACTGCTGAGCGCCCATGAAGGCTGGGTGTACATAAACCACGGAAACTTATGAGCCTCCGGTGTCCCATACAAAGTTAACATGTCTCCCAAAAGCGCCGCGGAAAAAGTATTTCTCTTCCCACAAGAAAGAGTTGAAAATCGATCAACCATCTTAATTTATTAAGTCACTAAATTTGGTTAGTATGATATGTTCCTTGATTTGAGCCTTCAGTGAAGTTCGTGCGACGTGCCTTGTTAATTCAAGTAAGAAATAATTTCCATTTCCAAGCGGCGGGTGTCCGTGAACGTTGAAGGTACATTCATACTGCACTGCAGTCGTATTTAAGCGTTGTTACTTAGTTAAAAAGTGTTAAGAAAACTAGCGAATTAGCACGAAAACTACCTCCCGCTAATTAACTGACTTTAAACAATAAAGTTACCTTAGTGACGTCTTGTATCACCAACTTGAAGGCGAGACTTTCAAAGATTAAACAGTACAAGTTTGTAACGCTTTAACAAGGTCCCGCTTCTGTGAGTCCCGAATCATTGTTGTAAAGTCCAGTTTCCTTACCTCCGGGGAAATGAAGCGAGATGGATATATTTACAAGACTTACATCTCTCTCTTTCATTTCGTACAAAATTATAATATTTTATTAAAACCTTGAGATCGTTATTTGGTTGTGGAATTAATATTTCAAACGTCTAACTTTTAGACTTTCCATACATCTTGCTTATGTAACTTGGACGTTTCTATCTCGTTCGCGTTGTTAACTACGTTTTTATTCTACTTCGCAATCCTCTTCGGTAATAAGTTTCGAAACATGTATTAATGAAACTATGTTGAATACATAAAGTATTTTAATAATTCTGTTTTGAAACTTTTCGTATCGTGGCTGGGTACTTTAATAAAACGATGTTTAAAATGTTGGAGTCCCGTCGGAAAATTAGCAACGTTACGTGATGACAGAGGAATTATGTTTTGAAATAAGTTTTACTTTTAATGGATCCGTTGTTTTATATGTACATCAAAATGAAATTACAATTTTATGTTTATGATGGATATGGTGATAAATAATGGTATTTTATCACGTTATTGTCAAAATTTAAAGCACTATTTCTGACTTATTTTTCTGTATAAATGAAGTACACAAAAACTTTTTAAATCCAGTACCTTAACGCATTTACGTGAAATGTAAACGAAATTAACATCCGTGGTTTAACAACATTCGTGGTTTAAACCAACCTAACAATAATTATAATACCAACCAAACACAAAATGAAACTTACTGAAAACTATTAAACCGACATAAATTCAGAATTATCAACAGACGATAACAAATCAAATTGTTGCCGATTAAACGCGCAGACGACAGCTAATTTATAAATCAGGGGTGAGACAAAGACAGTTCGGGGTTCATAGCAAACTTCTCTAAGTTAGTTATAGAGGGCGGGACTGTGCGTGTCGCTACTCTAACACTAGTTGTCAACTTCATATTTATCTAGCACTTGTTTGCCGCGTCTCTGCTTGTTGTTTTCTTTCCGAGTTTCTTTCTGATATTCTTATTAAGGGTGAAGTTTAGTAAGTTTTGTGTTTAAAATTTGTTTGTTTTACATTTTATTTTTAATGGTTCTTTTATGGCGGTATCTATGTGCAGGTGATTATGTGTGATGTTAAATTTCCTAGTTGTGGATTTAATTTGGTATTACGAGTATGGCTAGTTTGTGCATGATTGCATCTTGTGGAATTTACACCTTAATAATAAAAAGGTGAGAAAATTTGTCGGAACAAAATTACTCGAGAATGTAATCAGGAAATGTTTTGTTTTTCATTCTGACATAGGTACTAATTTTGTAGGACCACAGACGTAAAAATGTCTTACAAAAGATGTGTTATTACAAATTTATCCGTCAGACTAGATAGACTTTAGCGGGGCTTGCGAGTACAAGCGCATTATTGTACCACAGTCCTGGCTCGAGGCAGAAAGAAAGGGTCCGTCAGTAAGATGTCTGTCACTCCCTCTCGCCTCATTTAGTGCTAAGAAGACATCTAATGATTAAAGTTAAGCCCTATTTTAGTACTATCACAAACATAGATAATACTTGAAACAGTTTATGTAATCGAGAGCTCTACACGGACTTACTCCGAATAACATATCTAATAATCTTAAGTAGAAATTCCAAAATATTTTTAGTTCAGTAAGCTACATTTTATTCTTTACAACGTTTCCATCTATAATCTTACCCAAGGGATATCTAACATTTTATTGTACTCTTTGAACACGGCAATCGGATCGGCCCGATGCTTGTCAGGAACGTCTACGATTGGCTAGAATAAACTCTTACGAAGTCTACCTAGGTAGCTACTTGTTACATGAAAGGCCTCACTTGCTTCGATATTCAGCTTATGATATTTATTCTATTCAAAACCTTGTTCAATAATATTAAGATATGCTGCTGAAGATATGTCTACTATTGGATTTATGATACATCAGCGGTTTTTCCGATTCCATTTGTGTTCCTACGACCATATGTATTTGTTGTTTGATTTAATATGACATACAATTGGACGATTTTATTTGCATGTAAATGTTTGTTGCTTCCGAATGTTTTATGATCATAGGTACAAATGTTTATGTAGGAATTGTATTTGCCAGCGAGTTTTATGGCGGAGCTTAGGAATGGTTACGTACTTTTTTAAATTTTTGCTTTCTATCAAATGTGCCTACAAGGATTTTTTTATATGCAACCATTTGGTATTAACCCCTTTCTGTTTGTCTGTCTTATCTTCACGGCTAAACTGCTGAACCTATTTGTGTGAAATTTGCTTCAGTCATAGTTTGGAACTCGCTAAAGAATGTAGGATAATTTTTAAACCAAAAATGTGCAGGAAGTCACTTTTTCACGCGAACAAAGCCGCGTGGAAAAAGTTATAATATTCAAAATAACCCACAGACTAACAAAATAAAATGATTCTAAGTATTCCTTACTTTCAGCCCGTGCCTTTTTAATCATATTTGTATTATAAATAGTACAAGTTTGTTGCACCGAAATAAATGTTTGCGAAGTGCATTTTGATATCTGAAAATAATCGAGCGAGACTTTGAATGGCTTAAATAAATATAACTTAGCCATCGGCATAAACTCCAACGGTAGTTTTGCAGTAAAATATTAACTCGACTTATCCTGCTTTTGAAAATAAATCGTATGTTAGTAAAATGACTATAACATTATGATGAAATATGTATATTGGTGACTAAAACTTGTGACTTTGAGCATTCTAGGCTCTTTTTTAATCTGGGTTGAATTTAATACATAGATAAGAGTTCTAAGATGGCGTAATGGCTAGGCAACCGACTGCTGCGCAACTTTTCGCCGGTTAGATTCCTGTAGCAACTCCTTGGAATATTGTTCAGGGTCAGGGTATTTTTTCTTATAGGAAAATGATTTAATGACTTTCTCCCGCCCAGGGTGGTGGGAAGAAGTGTCTGTAGAACTCTTACTGACTAAAAACCACCCCGTTTCTTCTCGTCTCTCTCATTGTGCTTGCTGTAATGTGTATTTGTCAACTTATAAGTGTATTAAACGCACCCACGGCACAACATAGAAACAGTAGTGTAGGACAGATTTTTTTTAATAGAAATAAAATACAAATCCACAAATCCTAAAGAATACTCGAAGATAATTTTTTTTTGTTTTCTTTATTGTTTTCTTCAACGTATTGACAGGTATCGTAGTAGGTAAAATAGTCAAAGAACTACATCAATAATCAAGTGGGCACTCGCCATTTATCGACAAAACACATTATATTCTCACGAAACTCGTCTAGTTTCAAGCCAAACTAAGAGCTTATATTCATACGAAGCATTGCGCGACACAAAACACGGCCAACGCCGCGAATTTAACATAACGCATTACTCTTTAGGTTTTTATTTTAAAAGTCTAGAGTTTAACTATAGACTTCTACTCTCTCTCTCTTTCTCTCTCTCTCTCTCTCTCTCTCTCTTCTCAGACATTCTATGAAAACATACTTAAACATAACATAATATAATGTATGATAATATAGCTACAAGAAATAATAATATCACAGTATATTTGAAGGTATTGCGTGACAGGCTGAGAGGGCCTCTTAGCCCCGAGGACGACGTAATTTAATTACCCATGTAAAGTATAAACAAACAATATGTATATTCATATTACACAATTACCTGTATTCGTTGAAGGTACTTGATAAAGCGTTTATGTATCGTAGAGAATGTATGTGGTATCATTTTCGCGTTTATTTTTGTGTTTTTACACGCATGTAATGTATATATACAGGGTGTAAAAAGACACTTAACGAAGCCGTTAACTATGCATACTGCAGTTCTAACTAAGTAGCTTTACGCTAAAATTATCACTGGGAAACGACTTTTATTTTTAGGTATAAAAAAAAATTATAATTTTATTGCGCGCAATGTAAAGCAAACGGGCTTCGAGTCATTGTGTGCGTAGGTTCACAGCTTAGCATTAAAACGCTGTGATAAGTACGTAGGTCGACGTTCTACTTCGCAACAACTAAACAATTCTGTAAAATAAAAATCCTACTGAGATGCAAGATGTTTTTTGTGCGGGTCTGCATTTGTTTATTACGTACATTACTGTTCGTAACTTCAAATGCGTAATTTATTTATAAAAAACGGAAATTCAGGTAATGTTTTCTTGGAAAAAAGTTTTGTAATAATAATTAGAATCCGCAGAAATCTTGAAGAAGATATCTTCCAGCGCTAGAGATGAGATTATGTTACATATTTAGTTTGCGTGACCATACTCATCAGCATTTTTTGTAATAAATATAACATCTTTTTGATACTATCAAAAACTTAACACGGGACCAGACTGACTCTAAAATTGAACGCCGGAGTTATAAACTCCAAAGGCTAAATACAGATACACATAAAATATGTAACAAAGTATTGAAGTCAATACAATATACTAAAATTTTTTATGTGATAATACGGCAAACGAGCAAGCGGATTACCTGATGGTATGCAATCAGCGTTGCCCATTGACAACTGCCAAAATGGAGGAGTTACGAGTGCGTTGCCGAACTTTTAAAGATTGGGCCTCCGTTAACCTCACTCATATGGCGAAACACAACAAAAAGTGATAATATAAAAATATTCCTATTTAATTTTTCCATTGTTCTACTACATAAGATACCTATATATCCGAAAATAGTTTCGCAATAAATTAATTTTGTTTCAGAGTCGTTACTGCTAAAGATAGTTCGAGTGTCGGTACCTACGTACAGGGTGCGGGGACAGCCCGCTCAGTTCGAGTGTGACTATGAACTGGGCGAAGACAACTTATACTCTGTCAAATGGTACAGAGATAATGAAGAGTTTTACCGATACATGCCCAAGTATGACCCACCGAAGCACGCCTACAAATTGGAAGGGATCAAAGTGGATGTAAGTTGTTTGAAAACCTTTTATATCACTTTTAAGCCCAGCGATATCGGCTTTCATATATTTTGTACGTAAATACTGCTGAACGGTAGTGTAACTTGTATTCTGAGTTTATGTTAATATTTTCGTGTATAGATACATAGGTTCGAATTTGTTAATGTTTTAGTGTTCCCATTAAATAGATGAGTTTTTAATGTTAGGAAGCTTAGAAGGATTTAGGTAAAAATAGATATGGATCATTGCAATTAATCTGGAGAATAAAATTTTGAGTAAATTATTGAAAAAACCTTTTATTTTGTTACCGATGGGTCTCAATTAATGTAACTTTTTTTATTGATAAAGTGTAGCTGCTTGTTAATATGTTAGTGATTAAAAGTAAGTTCCGACTTAAAGCAACAACAAAACAACTTTTTCCAAATATACGTTTATTTTTTTTGTGAGAGAATCTAGCCTTTTATTTTTTAATATAAGTTTGAAATCGACAATTCCTTTTGAGCAAGCGTGGTTAGTGATTGGTTACTGTTCAAGCGTTCTTTGTAAGAAAAGAAGCCTTTGCTCAGTAGTAAGCACATAGGCTGTTGATGTGATTTAATTGATATGAGTATAAAAACTGTAGCTTTCGTATGAACTGATTAGGGTATAACTTTCCAACAAACGTATTTCAAAGAAGTAAAAATTGTAGCAACCGAAGAAATGAAAATTTGAACAGTGCGTAATATTTTCTTAAGATCTGAAGGAAACTGATATATCAATACATCAATGTTTTAAAGACATATGATACAGTATAGGGCAAATTACCGTATAATTTGAAAGGTTTTCTTTGTAACCCATTCTTTATAAGTTATATAGGTTGGTTATCTATTCGGGGCGTACAATGGAAGACGCCCTCGTACACTGACAAAAGATCGGGATAGAAATGAGACGAAGCCAGACAATCCATACGAGACCATTGAAGAATACTATCGTCTAAGCTAGTGGAAACGTGCTCGACAAAATTACTTGTAGTGGGAGATTTAGCAAGATTCAATTTTCCTTATTGATCAAGATACATTGGGAATGTATGTTCACTCATTTTTGTTCGTATTATATTTTATTGGATAATAGTTTTAATTTGAGAAGCTTGTGCCGATGTAAGACCTCGTCCTGTCGATTACACGCGAGTTCTTCTACAAAAAAGAAATTCTTCTAAAGCAAAAGGTTGTTGACTTTTTACTAGTAAAAGGGAATGAGATAATAATTGTAATATATATTACATTAAACAAAAAGAACGTCACACAACTACGTGACTGTTTGATCTTTTTTTTGCATGTAATTCTTCAAGTTATAGGTCGTGCAATGCTGCTCATGAATATGAGCCCCAAGCGTGGTTAAAAACTAGTCAAGCTCCTCTCCTGGTCAGTCAGTTACGCGAAAACGCCGTTAAAGTTACTTGGAAAATTATTTACTCTCTTGAACGTGTAATAAATCACCAAATTGTGTGTTTACGCATGAAATAAAATGTAAGTGTACCGTGCTTTGGATAACTAATTCAATATAACAGACATGACATAGCTAGCAATGTCTTACAAAACTTTCGTACAACTGATACGAAGGGATTGCAGGATTTAAAACTTCAATCTGGATTTCGAAGCTATTTTTAGTAAAAATCTTTGCCACTATTTTGATCAACATCGTTTTCTGGAAGCAAAACTTCTGTTCCGTTGGCAGTGAAACATTTCAAGTGAGCAATTATAAAAATCTCGAAGTAGACACAGTTGAGGAGATTTCAGTTGGAAACGAGGTCGCCCGCTGAATGAGACAACTTTTATGTGACTTCTTGCAATTAGCTCATTACAGACATTTTTATACAGAAAATTGTATTTTTAATGTAACGGGTTCTTTGTAAATTAAAATTACCAATGTTGTTTTTGACCTTAGATAAGAGTGCTAATTGAATCAAAGCAATTACTCAAAGACTAGTATACTAGTAGCAGTCAAGAAGTTTATTATTACCTAGTTTAAGTTGATGTATGGTAAGAATGGTATTTTTGTTTGGAGTTCGAGTCAAGGTATTTAATGTGATAACATTAATTTGGAGCCTGGAAAAAGCTAAAAAAATTTAGTATTTATTTTTTATCCAAAACTGTGAAATGTTATGTAAGCATTTTCAAATTACATTTTTAAGCTACTACAATACTAATGAAATATTTTTTTCCAAACAGTTACAAAAATCAGACGACCGAAGAGTCGTCTTGCACCAGGTGACCCTCAAATCGAGTGGACTGTACAGGTGTGAGGTGTCCGCTGAAGCGCCAAGCTTCGCATCAGCAGCTGGAGAAGGAAGGATGGAAGTTATATGTAAGTTGTTTTTCTTTCTAGTCATAGTACTTATACTGCTGTAAACTGTTTGTTGGCATGGCGGCGTAATTTTTAATAAATTAGTAAAAGTAAATTACACTTAGTTGCGTAATCAAATATCATGCAAAACTAACAGTTAATATGGAGGTTTTTTGAGGTTTTTTTGTAAGGGGTAAATCATCAAATGACTTTTCCCGTCCAGGGCCGGGCGGGAGGGATTGTCAGACTCTTACTAACTAAAAACCTCCCTGTTCTTTCTCCTGCTCTGGAGGTTTTTTGAGGGTGGAATGTCAAATGGTTTCTTGCGCGGGGCGAAAGGGCAAAAGGCGCAAGACTCGTACTGACTAAAAACCAACCCGTTCTTTCTCTTTTACTGTTTGACATTACCGAGGCCGCGATGCTTTATTGCTCTTAAACAAACACAGTTTATATGGTGCTTATTAAATTATTTATTCCAATTTTATTAGGAAAACAAGATTTTAAAAGGGTATCATGATATATTATCAAAATTTGTAAATATATTTCATTTTTATTGACATGACGCGAAAGGGATTGAATTTTAAACAGGCATAAATCTACACGTACCTATTGTCAAAAATTTGACCTGACATTTGGTTTATTGATTTTGAGCGGCGCGGCTGTATGTGAAGAATTTTCAATTTATAACTACCTCAAATTGCTAGAAACAATTTAGTTAATACCGTAGGTCAAAGGCCTAGTGTATTCTGTGAGATACATACGTTGCTCAAACATTTATAAGAATATGCTTGTAATTGAACAATTTGGTTAGTATCGATTTTATTATTATTGTTATTTAACGAGTTTTCGTCTGTGACTTAACTCGTTTTATTCAATCAAACACTAACCTAACTTAACCCCATTCTTTTGCATCTTTTTATTTCATTTTTTAAACTAATACATTTTCAAAAAGAAGGTTTAATTGGGTGGGCTTAGAGACAATTGATATAATTTTTATGCTCCACACAAACACAGTCACATACACATACATAAATAAAAAAATTCATACATACTTACGTACCTAAGTACCGAAAGAAGAATCTATCATTGATATCAAAATGTATGTTCATTTTCACATTTTAATGTCAAACCGAATGTACCAAGATCGAAATTGTCTGTTTTCTTGGTAAATTCGTGATGTATTTCGTTCATTTAAGAGTTTAATTTCAAAAAAAATTCCAATTTCATTCCCTTTGACGGGAGGAATACATAGCAGAAGGAAGCCATTATTTCAATTTGGAGTTTGTATTACAACCGCAGTTTGAGAATCGCCCCCGGCTCAGGCTCAGGCTCTAAGCGACAGATGTACTCATTGTCTTTTGTCATTCAACTTTACATGCTCCGGTATTTAACACGTTGTTTCAACTCTTTCGGGGCTAATTTTACTGTTTTATTTTCTTGCTTCTTTTTGTTGATTTTCAGATAAATAAGACGGTTATACTAAGATTATGAAAGGGTTTCTATTTTAATGAGAATATAACCCGTTAAATAAGTAGTTTTGGGGAAAAATCTCTATTCGTAGGTATCGTAATATATGTGTCATAGTGTTATAGTTATCGTTCAGTTGTTTGTTTCTATTGTCTTAGGTTAGTTATCTAAAGTTAAACAATCTTGGCATATCTTTTTATATAAAAGAGGTCATATAAAACAAATACATACAAAGATTATTTAAATTTTGTTTGTAACCTAACATCGATTTACGTAAATAGCTGAATAAAAACATTTTTACATACAATTTTAGAGAACTTTAAGATAAAAAGACATGCCAAGATTGTTTACATTTAGTGAATTACCTAAACCGATAGGTAGACCAAAATGAACACGCAAATTACAAAATATAACATACTCAGAATAATACTATATATAGGTAGGTCGCGTGGAATGTACTCGCGTATGATAATATCCTTTAATGCAAAAATTGTGTCACAACACAAAACAAAAGCCTACGGTTGGGGCAACATGTATAAAAAAGAATATTGACAGATTATTTTTTCATCAGATTTACCGAGGGAAGGTCCAAGAATAACAGGCAACGAGCAAGAGAATAGAAGAGGGGACTCCTTATTCCTGAACTGTACGTCGGGACGGTCGTACCCCGCGGCGGTACTCAGTTGGGACATTGATGGAGAAAAGGTACTAATAAAACATTTTCAACGAAAAAATATTGACATTTACGAGACAAGCGGTGTTCCGATTTCAGTTTTGATAGAGGTTAAACAACTGTTTTTTGATTATAATCCTTCTGTATTACGTTTGAGTAAACTTTCGTTATCATTTATTGATAATAATGAATGTTTCTTTACGAAACTTTTTTGTTTTCGATTTGTTCTTTATTGGTCCTTCCCTTTTAAACTACTTTTAACTACTTACCTTGGTAATCGTTTTAACCAGTAGGTGATTTGTTAGTGTAAGTTGTAGGTGATTTGGTTAATTTATGTGTATTTTTTTATTATTTATCGCAATATTGGACTGCACGGTTGTTGCGGTGGCCGGGCAACTGGCTGCCGTGCAACGTGTCGCGGGTTCGATTCCCGCACCGAACAACTCTTTTTGTGATCCACAAATTGTTGTTACGGAACTGGGTGTCATGTGCACGTGTGTATGTTTGTACCCGCACCAACAACACGGGAGAAAATCTTAGTGTGTGGCAACGTTTTTGTAAGAAAAAAATAGGTAGTAAATATCATATGCATAGTTAAGAATCTATATTGCCAAATTACTTTAAGCCTTTGACTGCCGACAGAAAACTGTTGAAGGCAAATCCTCCGCTAACGGAGGTCACCGGTGACCCCCATGGCGCTTAACGTGTTAATAACAGGCTTGATAACATTATTGTTAGAAAGGGACGAAATTCCAGCACAGATCGTAATTTTTCGAAGCCATATCCACATTTGGTGGTCTCGTAACTCGATAGCCCGCTGGACGTGGCCAGTCGTGAGGGGACATAATGCATTATGCGTCCATTACCCACCGTGCTGCCAACTAATCCGCTCGTTGTCGACCAACTACTCACATCAATCAATCTTCTAGACACAGCTTGCATATCCATTAACACAGCTTGCGCTACTTTTTCTTTATCTTTTTCCAGCTACAGATATCTTTCGAATTAGAAGAAATTAATTAGAAGTTCTTTTTTAACCTTTAAGGTCTAATATTTTTGTTTATAAGTGAATGTTTGAAGAAAATAATATTCCCTCTTAAGACCCATTCAAGGCATAATATATAATTTACGTTTATAATCAACGAATTATTGAGGTCTATAAAAAAGACGATCAAAAATATTATGACACAAATACAGTTGTTAATCTATTCGCTTAAATTACAATGTGGCTTTTTTATATTTTATACCGAACTTTTAATGGTATAACCACAAAGTAATTAATGTGGATCCATTAACTGCAAGTTAATTAAGTTGTTTTAATTTTGATCGGTCCGTAATACAATATTACACGTACCAAGTAGATTTAATTTCTGGCCAACGATCCTTATTAATATAATTGTTCGGCCAGATATCTGACCCTTTTCAACGAGTTTCTGTAATTCGACTCTTATATCCAATAAGGTTTTTTCAAATTTTAACTTTGTTCGAATCCTTACTGGGCCTTATTGAAGTGCGGGTTCGTATTTATCTTTTATTTCTGATTTGGCCCGAGTTTGTTTTTTGTTTTGAACAATACTGCCGAACTCGTCACATTCTTTTTTATTCGGGTCAAACTTGTAGCAATATATCCTGATGTATAACTGGTAAAAATGTTTCGAAACACTTCTATCCCTTTTTTATAATGATGGCGGGATTTTTATTAAAAACTCGCCCGCACTGGGTTTAAGTTATTTCATTCTTTTATTTATTCTTGTTACTTGGTACAGCAACTTTTATATTTTGTGTCGCCATGTAGATTCGTTTTTAGCATATACGTTTCAGTGATTTATAACTCTGTCATGTCATTATTTCCCGGGGAAATTTGTGTCTGTGTTGAAAAGGAAATGGATGTTATTATACAGGATTAGACTATTCAATATTAATAGTAGAGCAGATCCATTTACAAGCCTTCCGTTCCCGATGGTTAGTAACCATGAAATTTACGATCAATTATGGCGTTAAGTGTTCCGAATCGAAGGATATCGTGGCGAAGATGTCATTGCCGAACTATTATGGAACTCTATTTGTGGCCATCCCTAAATTCAATTGGGGAATTCTAATCTTGATGAATATTGAAAGCCGGTGTTGATAAATACAGAACTGCAGTTCCATTTTCAAAACCTCATTTAATAACATCCTTTAAAAGTTATAAAATAGATTATTCGCATGAAAAATACAATAGTAAAAAGTCTCTCGGACGCCAAAGCATTCACTTCGATCCATGTTTCCCAACTTTTTCTTTTCCTTTGTAAAATCTTACGACACTTATCCTAACTAATTGACATTTCACAATGGAACAAATTGACACATCCTTTGTTCTTGCTTCTTTCGTGGGACTAATTAAACACATTGTTCTCAGATTATAGTCAGTATTGAGATTAGAAGCAGTTCAATGAGTTCAAAGGGATTGTATAACAATTATAGAGGGTGATGTGCCAATGAAATGCTAGATTGCAAAGGTGTTTGTTGTTTTCAATGGTTGAGGCCGTTTAGACAGTAATTGGTTTTGATAACATAATGTGATATTATCGTATAGGTAAATATTATCTACGTATAACGTAAAGTATAATCTTATTATGTGGATAGAAAATTTAATCAAAAGTTTTATTATCATGAGAGTTATTTTGCTCTACAATCTCAACCTATTTCTCCTAGATTTTTTTAAAAGCCTATTTTTCAGTACGTATGTCTCTTCTTACCTACATGTTTTACGTTTTCTTTCTTTTCAATGTCTCAGGTTTGATCATTAATCACCACGCTTGTTCTAGTCAAAGTTGCGGTGTTTTTCTTCGCCTCATGATGCAGTGGTATTTCTTATTCAAAAAGAAACGTAGCCCCACCACTAGCCTTTTCTTCTATGCGTTTTCAAACATACAATTTCGCATACCCACCACACCCGAACAACAAATTGTGGATCTCAGAAAGAGTTGTTCCGTGCGGGAATCGAACCCGCGACTCATTGCGCGGCAGCCAGTTGCCAAGCCACGGCGCCAACCGTCCAGTCAAATTTATTAATATTTAAATAATCTAAGATAGAAAAGCAACATTGGTACTTGAAAGGATTCGAAGCCGAACCAATAGCGGTTATTATTTATTTATTTATTTAATAATTTTTGTACCGGAGTAAGTTGGACAAGAAAAATAATACAACAATTAGGTACAAAGGCACAGCTTATTTCTTCAGAAATCTCTTCCAGCAGGCCCGTTATGGGAGAGTTAGAATAAAAAGTTGTGTAGACTGACTGTGTAAACACATTGCCTTAAGAGTTTTAGGGTAATGTAATATTTAAATTCTGGAAAAGCCACACTTCGGAACGACTGAGTCGGCTCGACAGGACAATCACAGAAAACCGACGTGAAACAGCCACTGCGTTGTATTTCGCCGTGTAAGTGAGGTTGCAGGAGGCCCAATCTCTTCCCTTTCCCCATTTCAATCCAATCCCTAAATCTCCCAAATCACTGGCAACGCACTCATTATTCCTCTGGTATTACGGATGTTCAAGGACGCCAATTGTTTCCCATCTGGTATTCCGTCTTCTCGTTTACCGACCTTCTAAATAAAAAATGCGATTCTAAATCAAGAATTCTCAGAATCTGTTTATGAAGACAAGTATTTGTATAAATTCTATGTGTCACCCTCGTTTTTACTGCAATTTAATTTATTTCAAACGCCATAGCAGCCGGTTTTTAGTTGAGAATTTGTAATAAAGTTTCATTCGAACGAATTTCCGCGAAGTAAATAAATAGACTAAAAGATCGGGTTGTGCTTGAACTGAAATTCTGCAGAGCACCCATGTTACGTAATGATAATAATAACGTACAGTTGGTTTATATATTGTATAATATGTAATTTGTCATGAAAATAATATAAGAAAAGTTTCACTATAAATAGAACTGTATTACTTCTACGTTTATTTCATGGTTTACAAGACAGACTTCGAAAATTGTAATTTTTATAGTCAATGGTTGTGGCGGCCCGGAGGTTAAGGCACCCGCTTCGAATGCATGAGATCATGCATCATCATCTCATGCATGCGAACACGCACCGTGTTCGAAACCTGGCAAGCGCCAATGTGACTTTTTCCGAATTAAATGTACTTTCTATGATTATTTAGTCACCGCTCTCGATGTTTTCTTCGCCGCATGCCATATATCTTGACGTAAAACTCCTAATTATCAGTTTGTAATCGCCAATCTGGCTTGAGCAAGCGAGAACAGGCCTTTGCTCAGCAGTGGGCACGATTATAGGCGGATGATGTGATATGTGAATTGTCAATGATTAATTTTAAATTTTTCTTTTCCTAGGTGACAGACCCTTTACTCCTTGTGGAGTATCCACCGACGCAACACGCGCACGGCTTGCTGTCTACAGCGCTGGGCTTGCGCGTGCCTGTGGGCCGGACGATGCAGGTGCGCTGCACCGCTCGCGTGGCTCCCGCCTGGCGGGAAGGCAGCGAAGCAGTTGTCGGAAACAGCCAGCTTGCTGACAGTAAAGAAGCTATGTTATTAGGTAAATATCTATTTATTATTTAACTGTATTTATAATTAGCTAATATTATAAGTTTTACAATCTACAACAATAATCATGTTGTACAGAAATTACAAACTTAACTATTTTTCAAGGTAACTTGACCAGTTTCAAGCTATGTCAGGGACCACAATGTTGGTTATCGTGCATGCTTATTGTTTAAAGTACTATGCGGTACAATATTATTTACTTAATATGTGTGACGATAGGTATAATTAGTTTTAATCAATAACGATTTGATAGTTTTTGGTTCGAAATGATCAAGCGTAAAGTAAAATTTATGATTATTTAATTAGGGTTTTTATTAGAGTGTACCGTTTCATCGTGGTAAGAACAGAAAATAACCAACAAAATAAAATGTAATTATTGTAAAACTCTAATGAATAATCAATCTTCTTTTGTTTCTTACACAATTTTTATAAATGGAATATCACTGGAGATATTTGCGTCTTGTTCTTATAATTATTCTGTCGTTGGTCAGCTCACAACAACAAAAGCATGAAAATGAATTTCACCTCTGCTATTTGATAAATTAACTTACTTTTTTTTCATCAACCCAAACTTAAAAACACATATAATAAACAATATTATGTAAAAAATTCGAATTATAAATAAAATTGAAATTAAAATCGCCAAAGAAAGCATTTTACGGGGTAATACAGGTAGATTTTTTTTCTAATTTTCATTATTGTAGTAGTGCTCAAATTAATATGTTGAAATTCTCATCGTAGAATGACCTTAATCTTTGTTTAAGGTATCGGAGAGGACAGCATATTTTGTAAGTAATACAATTGACGTTTCTAAGCTAAATTGTTTAGAGAAATTCTTATTGGTATTGTATATAAATTTTAAAATTTTTTTTGACCAATAAGAATTCAATGTCTGTCTGCATATGAAAGCTTAAATAAATCAGTGTTGTACATAATCGTTGCAAAAAAAAAAATATTTTGTATTTCATCATCATCATCATCATCATCATCAGCCCTTTTCAGTCCACTGCTGGACATAGGCCTCTCCTATTGCACATGCCTATATATTTTGTATTTATCTTACTTAAAAATTAGGCACTTAAACATTCTTTTAATCAAACTGTTGCAAATACAATATATTTTACAGTAGG